ATCTCATTTTATATTTTAATTTTAAATTTTTTTTTTACAAATGCGTGTGTAATCTATAGAAATTGGAAAATCTAATAAAATAACAAAAAAATAAATTTGTAAAAAATAAATTGATTAAAATACCTTAGAAACTTTGTAAGGGTATTTTAGTTAATTTATATTGTGGATTATTTTTTAAAATATTTTTATTAGGTGTGCTTTGATTAGAAGAATGAATGTCTTAAAATTTTAAGTGATTTGGATTTGTAGAAAAAAAAATGAAAATATAAAATAAAGTTGTGACCGTTAGATCGGTTCAAATTGAATCTGGACCGTTGGCTTAAATAGTTATCTAACTTTGGCATATGTAAATTGTTAGCACTCATTGTAGGATAATGGAACAACTTTTTTCAAAAAACATGTATATAGTCATATAATATAGCCATTATATGACTTTAAAATTGAGACACTCATCTTAATAATCAATTCTAAAATGAATAAATCAAATTTATTCTATTAAAAAGGTCAAAGTGAGTTATTTTTCAATAAAGAATCCAGGCCATTTGGTAGAAATTGAGATCTATACATTTGAGAACTCAATGAACTATTTCTTTTTCAAAATAGTTCAAGTAGTGATGATAAGACTATCTACAAAAGTTAGAATAAAGAAAAAATAACCTAGAATCAAATCTAGGGCCCATATTGCGTTAAAAGATAATCTTTAAAGGTGCGTTTTCAAAATTTTGATCTTTTAAAATTGTTCATCCAAATGGGAAAAAATATTTGTTTACAAATTTAGGTATGGGTCAAACAAATTTGAAGGAAAAAGTTCATATAAGGTGTCAACTTTGGTAAGGTGCTCCTAAAAAACCACCAGAGAATGTTGTTCCGATGTTGAAAAATCCTCAAATCGATCTTCTTGTCTTAAAACTAGTTTATCATCAAATACATTATCTGGAGTGTCCATTTTTAAATGTGTATAGATATGTTTGATCATCATTATTTTTAGAATTTTAAATTTCATAATGGGGGGAAACAATATAATTTCATAGCATGGCAAGGCTTTGCGGCATCTGAACAGCATTTTCGATACAGTTTTGAAATGCACCTTATATCAATAGTATAAGGTTGACATCTTATACATTCCTCCTACATCTTTTAATACGTTCCATTATATTACTATTAGATATGTGTGTGCATATGTATATATGTGTATGAAGTAACTTTTACATGTCCGAATCAATAGTATACGTCTAATGGCTCAAATTGAATCAAGGTCGAGTTGGTGGCTACGATTTTATTTTTTATTTAAATTTTAATTTTTTTTTAAATCTAAATTATTTGAACTTTTTAACGTTCACTCTTCACATTGAGGTGCACCTAATTAAAATATAAAAAAATAATTCATAAAATATAAATTAACCAAAATATCCTTATAATTTAGGTCGTTTTGGTGGCCACGATTTTAATTTGTATTTAAATTTTAATTTATTTCAAATCTAAATTATTTGAATTTTTTAACGTTTACTCTTCTCATTGAGGTGTATTTAATAAAATATAAAAAAATAATTCATAAAATATAAATTAATCAAAATATCTTTATAATTTTGTGCGGTATTTTGATCATTTATTTTTTTC